CAGAGATTAAAAGCAACAGAGTACAAAAAGAAAAAGTGAAACTGAATAGTAAAGGGGAGGAATGGTTGGTTGTGCTCACAACCATTTTGCTTTGTTCAAAGGACAAGCTGAGCACACAAATGCACACACAGATGTTATGCTGAGCAGCGCACAGACTTTTAAGATCTGAGAAAAACAAACTTTTTTTAAAAAAAACAGAAGTTCAAAAGGTATGTGAAACGGTGCCAGACAAGGGAGATCAGAGAGAGATGTGTCACTGGTCACTAGGGATGTCATGGACACTAGCCAACTGCCACTATTAACACTTGCTAAAGCACTGTCTGTACAGTGATTACAAATGTGGCAGATTTTTTTGTTTTTTGCTGAGAGGAGGGAATAATTACATGTTCCCAGTGCCTAGTTTGGAGAGGTTACCTGCTGGGAATCTCCCAACCGGGAGTCTCAGCACCACTGCCTTGGCATTGGCTGTGGCACCAAAACAGTGTTTGCTTTTCAGGTGTGTATTTCAGCGAAGAAATCTGTTGTATTCTTACTGCACTGTGTGCCTTCCTCTCCCTTGCACAAGGTCAGCAGAACAGATGCCACTCCCTGAGGCAGGAACAAACAGAGCCCTGCAGGTCAGGGCTAGGCTGGAGCTGGAAGAATAGGGAGGCCTGAAAGCCAGGAACTGCAAGTCAGGCGGTGCCTTCTTCGGCTGCCTGGCATTTCCTTTCAGGCGTCCATACACTGCCATGGGTTCGTAGAAATGAGCATCGGCAGATGGCGGGGTCCCACCCAGACATATCAGACCCCCAATCAGGCTTTCTCTGTACTAATATCTTCCCTCTTTTGCAACCACATGTTAGAAATTCACTCAGCATGCCTCTCTCAAGCTGAGATCCCTGAACAGGGCCCTGGGGGAGGGGACAAGAGCACACCTGAGAAAGGAGAGCAGACAGCAAGCCCTTACCATGCAATGATCTGTCATTCCAGAGGTAAAGCAAGACATTCTTTTTCTTTCGTGACTGATGAGGCTGTATGTGTGGGAGGGGATCATGTTACAAGTTTGTGCTGGTGGCTGGTCCCAGAAAAATGGGTCTGACCGATGCTTGGCTGGGAGCCCCTGATCATGCCTGCTCCTCACTCTCCTCAGGGCACCATCCCCTGCTGCATGTGCTGGTGATACTCACTGCCTATCTAGTGGGTGGCAGCAGTGTTCAGCTGCATGATGTTTGCACAGTCCAAATTTCCTGGCAAAGGCAAGGGCGCTTTTGGCAGGGCCTTCCTATGATATCTTTGCTCTCACTCCCCAAGTTGCCCTGCAGGAGTCCACAGTACTCTCTCTATGCAACTAGGTGCCTGCCTGAGGCCCCCCTTCCTTGGGTCAAAAGTGCACCAGGTGCTGCTTTACACCCTTCTTCTGGGATCCCATGTTTTCCTAAAAAGACCTCAGGAATCTGGCCAGCAAACCAGTCTCGGCAGAGAGCTGCTGCCATGTTCCTTGCCAAAGTTTTGGCTGCCACTCAAATCCAGGAAGAGCAATCTGCTCTGCCTGCACAGTACTTCTTTCAATAGCCAGAAACCCAGTCCGTGCCTCATGTTCATGGCCACAGGTAGCCCGGATGGGTTCCTCCCCTTTGCTCATTCTCATCTGTGCTCTTCTAGCCTGCGCAGACCAAAAGCTTTCTTTGCCACACCTTTGCACTGGAGTCACTCCTAGCTCTCTTCAGAGCACCAGAATCAACTGCAACTAGGGTTGCCAACTCTAGGTTGGGAATTTTCCTGAAGATTTGGGGGCACCTAGAAATTGCAAGTAGATAAATAGGTACCACTTCGGTGGGAAGGTAACAGCGTTCAGTGCACCTTGGTGTTTAGTCATGCCGGCCACATGACCACGGAAACATCTTTGGACAGCGCTGGCTCTTTGGCTTTGAAATGGAGATGAGCACCGCAACCCTAGAGTTGGACTCGACTGGCTTTCGAGCAAGGGAACTTTTACCTTTTTAGGAAAGGGCAGGATTTGGGGAGGGACCTCAGCAGGGTATAATGCCATAGAGTCTACCACCCAAAGCAGCCATTTTCTCCAGCGGAACAGATCTCTGTCATCTGGAGATCAGTTGTACTTCCAGGGGAACTCCAGGCCCCACCTGGAGGTTGACAGCCCTAACTGCAACCCACTGTGCGCCAGCCTTTTCGTCCCACAAACACGCCCGTACATGAAGAGACCCACATGCCACGTTCACAGGCAGGAAAAGACCAAGAACACCCAGGAGCGGGAAGCCAGTGTGGCGCTGGGCGGGGTCCTTGCTGCTTCATCTCCGGCCCTCGCCTAGCCCAAAGCTTGGCCAGGTGCCTCCTTAAGGGGTTGGAGGAGTACGCAGGCCACCCAAAGGGCCGGTTGCCCCAGAGGCCCCTCCTTGCCCCACCCCCCTTCCGAGAAGGCTAGTCGGTCTCTCCATCTGCGTGCGGGGAGGCCCCTTGGGGCGGTGGATCCGAGGGCCAGAGCACCACCCCCTGTATAGAAAGCCATACCACCAGGCTCTGACGTCACCTCAATGGCGACGAAAGTAGTCATAACAGTCCCCTAGTGGTGATGTGGGGCTAAGCGGGCAGTTTGAATTCAGTTGGTGCAGTGTTGGGGAGAGATTTCAGTTAGAGGAGACGAGTGTTGGCTGTTGACTCTTCCTCTG